TAGGTCAGGTCGTGGTCCACCTCAGTAAAGTGAAGACGAGGAGCTAAATATGTCTTTGCGTGTCTTAAACAGGTTTCTTCTCGAGTCAGTGACCTGCCCTAACCCTGTGCCAGGTCGTCCGCTTGGATACAACCGTGTTGAACTGGTGCATTCACAGTTTAATTAGTCAAATGACAAACTGTTTTGCAGAGGGACAAGTGTGTGTGTGTGTGTGTGTTGCCTTTACAACAGATCCGACTGGTTCTTGGTACAACCAGATGTGTGTTATGTTTCAAGGTGTATCATCTGGTGGTTTTTGATAAACACGAGTCCTGTGGATAGTGACGCGTGTCTCGAAGATAAATTATATTTAATCTGTTCCTTCCTGCTGAGAAAACCTCACGCTGGCATCTCCATTCAAACAGCCGTTATCTGATACATACTTGGATGAAAAAGAAAACACATTTTTGTATAATATGGACACGAAGTAGTACCTTAAGCTGTGTATTCTCATATTACTCTATTAATTATGTATAGTAAAGTATTACAGAACATGTATTAATCCTATGTAATATTTTCATTTATTATGCACCATGTTATGTATGTGAATTATCATATTTACATATTATGTATTCAGCTTGTGAATGCTGGCATCTGTACATGCCAGCGCGGAGTGATACAGAGAGTTGAGATCACTAGTCCTTATGGTGTGGAAGCCAGTTTCTTTGTTCCTCTGTATTTATCTCCCGTACGAGAATAAGAACCTATTTTCAAGATAACAAGTGTTTGTGTATACCCTCCGTAGTGTAGAACATTTTGGGGGTATCAAAGACAAACATAGAATTTTGACGATAATATCAGTTCTTGTATTAATCTATACTATAAAAATTTGACTAAACACGACTGCCCCTTCCCAATGCACACTTTAACACACAAATAAACCATTAAAGAGTTTATAATAACATATCCGTAATGACAGGGTACAAACATTCTAAAGATACCAAACTGTTGTTCTGTTAAGTTGAGGAAGTATTGTTCGTATGTGGATGAACAGTGAGGCTGGGAGGTTGTGTTAGTGTGATGATGTAAAACAAACAAATGAGTTGTTTACTATATTCCTCTCCTCGACCCTGTCCTCCTCGACGCTCAGGGTGAGGACAAGGTTAGGTTAGGTTAGGAACAAACCAACCTGAGATGCGTTCATTATGGCATATATGATCTTCAAACTTTCCTTTCAACTTTAAATTAACTGCGATTTTTCATTTACTTTTTTGTCACCTTACTACTTTTTACCTTATACGTTGTCATGGTAACAGATTTTATTTTAAAGTACAAGAAATTGTCAGTAGGAATTTACAGTCTGGTGCTGTCTAATTGATGGACGATGAAAGAGAGAGAGAGAGAGAGAGAGATGTCTCTGTTCTTTGCTTGGTACATTAATTGGAGCAATAAAACTCTAATAGGTATCTACTAGTTCTGGGCATTCCATTTTCTGGTATATAAATGAGAGAGAGAGAGAGAGAGAGAGAGAGAGAGAGAGAGAGAGAGATCATACAAGACCACAATCACCGAATTATTACATTATTTTTCAGTTTTCAACGAACCTTGACTGTCTTATTTAAATTCAGAGGAACAGTAGTACTAAGTGGTTCACTTAACAGTCACCAAAGTCACCAGTATAGAGCAACAGTCATCACAGTCACCAGTATAGAGCAACAGTCACCGGTATAGAGCAACAGTCACCACAGTCACCAGTACAGAGCAACAGTCGTATGGACTAGACTCTGGACAACTGTGGATAGTCCATACCGCACAAGCAAAAAAATCACTAAGTCATATCCTTGAAAAGTTCTGCTGTATATTTCTTAAGACAGCAGCCAGTCAGTCCCACAAGGTCCAGACATCTAACAAGGTTTAGTCTCTGATCACGGTGGACGTGTACAACATCATGTCCCTCCGCCTCATTACTGATTAATTTTATTCTCCACGTATGTGCTGACTCTCACACAGGCATTACTTGGTCTTCAAGACTGCTGATAGACGCAGGGGGTGGACAAGAGAGCTATTCTGAATGGAAAGCGAACAGAATTACATGTAAGAGAGTTTGTCACATAATGACATTTCAGCAAAATGCAAAATTTTTAAGATTTGATTGAGAAGCGAGAAAATAGTGTATATTTTTAATGACAGAGCGCACGCGTTCGACACAAATGTATTTGACTTTGAAATACCTTCTCCATTCTTAATATAATGTTAAGAGTTTTCCTCGTACAGTCTTACATAGTTCACCACTTCGGTCTCGTGGCGCTCCTTACGGGGTACCAGCTATTCTTCGCAGACAAAGTCCATCCACCTTGACTAAAACCTTTCTCTGTCGCTTCCAGACTTCTTTACTTGAAGCAATTTCACAACTGTTTTGATAAAAGATTCGTTCCATAATGAAGATTGGGACGTAACGTCAATTTTATGAGTGCTTTCTTATCCTTTGTTTGAATATGCAAAAAAGAAAATCTAAAATGTTGATAATAAGAAGGAAAATTTCTTTTAGTTCCTGATTAGTTGTCTAACATCATTTTAGTTCACATAACCTTTTAAGCTGAAAGTATTTCCTCATATTCCCAATGGTTCAATAACACAATCATAAGAGTGAGCAAAGTTTTCTGGTTCCACCAAAGCAGGAGTATTCAGTGATGACAGCCTCACCTTCACTATGAGGTTCTCCTCTGTGCGAAATTGATCGAGCGTCACTTAGAGGTAATCCATGACCAAACACGCCATGTCGGGGTAAATCCATAACTTTTGTAATGAGATATGTATGTTGTAAACTGTAGTGATGGATTTTATTGACTAGATGGGTGGAGGGCGGGTGTGCCACTCAGCTACCACTCACAGCCACTTAAGAGGGACGAGGGGTGTGTACTGGCTGGGGGTCAGTGTTACACGGTTGTTTATATCTCACTTTCTGTCTGTTTGCTGTATGTCTCCTTGTCTCTCATCTTGTTTACATGGTTATTCTCCCTTTTTAGATGTATGGTATATCGGTTTACCCGGCCGTATGACCTCCGCTTTCGGTGTGAAATTGCCAGTTGCTTGGTTTAAGATAGGTCTGGTAGACTTACTTCTCTCGTGAGTGTTGTGTTCCCTCATTCCACATTAAAACATCACCTGTCACCATGGACGTTACGAAAATACAAGATATTATCGGAACTTTGTCGATTTTGCTACTGAGAATCTGAAAAATCTGAAAAATCTGAATTGTTAACTCGCACACTTCTTACACGATAACATCCTCGTGTCCCCATCCATCATTACCTCCTCGTCGTATTCATTTACATCTACAAATTACAGCAAAATGGATATTCACTACACGACAGCTTCTCCATCATCCTGAGGCTCTTCCATGAAAATAACGCCAGTACGAGCAATCATCAGTAAGATATTTTTTGGAAGTTACAACCAAACGATCATTTACCACCCCACAATGGCACACTTATCGAAGCTTCGCCAGACGAATGATCGACCGTCTTCTTTCTGCACTGATGATCTTCTGTGGTGTGAGAAGTAAGGTTACTCCTATTAGTTACATGACATCGCGGGAATTATGTTAAGAGGATATGTGGCTGAGTGGCAGCCACCCACACCAGCCCACCCAGGTAGTGACTGAGTGACGGCCACCCACAGCAGCCCACCCAGGTGGTGACTGAGTGACGGCCACCCACACCAGCCCACCCAGGTAATGACCCCAACAGTACACGCCCCACTTTACCTTCCAGACTATTCTGCTTCCGTCATGACACTTGATCTGGTGCGCACACACACACACACACAATAATACACAGAAGTACAACAGCAACAAGAGTCTTTGGCAAGAAATACTTATAAGCAGTAGGGTCATGAGAAGCAGACAGCAGCAGCAGGGGTCATAAGAAGCAGGAGGCAGCAGCAGCAGCAGGGGTCATGAGAAGCGGACAGCAGCAGCAGGGGTCATAAGAAGCAGGCAGCAGCAGTAGGGTCATGAGAAGCAGACAGCAGCAGCAGTTGTCATAAGCAGGCAGCAGCAGCAGGGTCATGAGAAGCAGGCAGTAGCAGTAGGGTACAGCAGCAGCAGGGGAAGCGCAGCAGCACAGACAGCAGCAGGGGTCATAAGAAGCAGCAGCAGTGAGAAGCAGACAGCAGCAGCAGTTGTCATAAGCAGGCAGCAGCAGCAGGGTCATGAGAAGTAGGCAGTAGCAGTAGGGTCATAAGAAGCGGACAGCAGCAGCAGGGGTCATAAGAAGCAGGCGGCAACAGCAGGGGTCATGAGAAGCAGGTAGCAGCAGTAGGGTCATGAGAAGCAGGCAGCAGCAGCAGGGGTCATAAGAAGCAGGTAGCAGCAGCAGGGGTCATAAGAAGCAGACAGCAGCAGCAGGGGTCATGATGGACACACGAGGTGGGCGCGTGAAGGGTGGCCAGGCTGCCCCACACATCCTGTTCTCCACCACCAGGCCGCGAGTGTGGCGATACAGGTGCAGTAATGTTCTCTCCTGCGTGAAGATGAGGGAGTCATCCCGCTACAAGTCTTGGAATAAAACTGATACCGGGTTTTTTCATCAATTTGATATTGCAGAAAATGTATATAATTATGTCATCATCCGAGGTTCCACGCGGAAATTTTTCAATAGAAATATGACCAATGCAGTGATGAAAACCATGTTGCTGTTGAAAGTAGTTTACTACCTTTTACGAATGATTTTCAGTCATTCACCCACAGATGCAAAAAAAAAAATTTAATGTTTTAGACACATAAATTCAACATCTGATATTATGCTAATAAATTATGTAAATATTAAAACTATTAAATTGAAATTTTATTTAATTTTTCTTATTCTACATATTTCCTGGTTTTGTAGCTTTGATTATGTTATTAAGTAAAGTTAGTTGAATAAGACAGATAAAATTACATTAATTTGGATAACCTGAAAATTACACTAGAAACGGTTAGGTTAGGTTTAGTTATGTTAGGTTAAAATAGGTTTGGTTAATTAGTGTAAGTTAGTTTAGGTTCAGGTATACATTACATGAACAAGTCTGAACAATATATTACACTTGTTGCTGTAATGATTCTTCTATTCATTATTTTTATAACTTTATTATTAACCTCTGCTGCGTCTCAACCACTACACTTTAAGGATTGGGAGTTAGGAACCATTGTGGATTTTACTGATCCCTGTGAGGCTCGCTGGGGTTAAGGTGACGACGTGTTGGTGCCTCGCGTACTGAGCCTTAGAGCAGGTGAGACAATCTGAGGGGGGAATTCGGCTTAGTTTTACTGTGCAACAAGTATCTGCCTCTGTGTGAGAGAGAGAGAGAGAGAGAGAGAGAGAGAGAGAGAGAGCACTGCAGTTCAGCTCTCCCTACACTACAATTATCCCAGCACCACAGCTATCCCCACAGCAGACGCGGCCAGGGTGTGTCGTGGTGTTCACCGGGCCGCGGAGAAAAATAGCTTTTACGAGCACCACCACGCCGCCGCCATGCTCTCTCTCTCTCACCGCCTGAGCCACCACCTTCACCAATACCTGCCCCCTGGTACTGTTTCTGCATATCCCTGATCCAGCCTTCCCCTGTACCTGTCTACACCTCGTTCTTTCTACACCTAGGTTGTCTCTGGTTCTTCCTACACCTGACTTACCCATGGGTGTGAGGCTACGTTACTGTAGGAAGCATTGGCGTTTTGTAATAGGGTGTTGTTTGCGTCGCATAGTTTAAAACAAAAAGTTTACCCAAGCTTAGAACGTGAAATACATTACCATAGTGTGGACGGAGCTTAGAACGTGTGTGGAACATAAGTAAATGTGGCGGGAATTAAAATTCTGAAGAAACTCTGTCTACGTAACTGACGAATTTTACCCAGCTTATTTCACCTTAAGATTAACCATCCTAACACTGTTTGGGGATGAGGTTAGGTTAGATTGTTTAATTTTCAGGTAAAATAAACTGGTGGGGGGGAAAGAATCTTCAGGTGATCCGGGAAATATAATTGATTTTAAAGCCCCTTGAGTCATTATAATCACCAGAAAAACAGACAGCAGGAAGGAGTGGTGTGATTAAATGACCGGAAGGCATCGTGACCAAATAGCTCTTGGGGATGAACGCGCTACTGAGGGAAGTTACGGCACTAAAATGAGTTATGTGAGGCGACGTGAGTAAACCAAATGAGCGTCTTCGGATCTTTTGTTGTGGATGGGGAATACCACACTCGAACACATCTATCGCTTATGACAATTATCTAGAATTACTGATAAAGAGAGAGAGTCAGTGTAAATTTAACTTATGTCTTCTTGCATGATGGTGAGATAAAAAAGTTGTAAGAGTAAAGAAAAACTTGGAATCTTGTTTATCATAATTTAAAATTTTCACCTTGAGGATTCGGGTCAGGTCAACATCAGTAATATTGTAGCCTCATGTTTACCTTGTTGATGCTGTGAATGTATTATTACGCTTCATCAACTAACTTCCTATGTCGATAGCTAACACATATACGAGTCTCTGCTTGTCTGCTCAGGTCTCTATTAACTGTTTCTCGAAGTTTGGCTCTCCAGTCATCAAACCTGGCAAGTGGAGTGACTGAAGCTGTTTACCGAACCAGTTGAATTATAGATACGAATTACACAACTTAATACATTGCAGATGATACTTGTAGCTTGTAGAACAGACACCTGATGTGTTCAATGTTCAAAGGCATATAGTATAATTAGAAAGTGAATATATATAGCTAATATACTGTACACTCGCTCCAAAAAATATCTTTACGAATTTTTTGTTAGACAATATGACACTACGGACGAATGATTTTGACAACACTACCGAGCGAGACAACCGGAGTCACGGTGTTCCTCTCTCCCATCCATGAACCCTTGAGACTCCTGAACATATGATGCCGAGACATTACACAGTGTGCCATTTATAGATCCAACAATGTGTGATGTCTCGGATTCACAGGTTCACAGGTTTATGGGTGGAACTGAGGACTGACGGAACTATACATGGAACACAGAAAGTGCTCTGTCATAAACATCTATAACTCTACCAACCAAACTATCCTTAACCAGAGAAGGGTGTTCAGTCACTCAAAAAACTATCTGTACTTGGAGAGTCAATGAATTTCAGAATGAACACTGCGACTCCTGTTGTCTCAGTGGGGTTGTCAAAATCCTTCATCTGTTGTGTCATATTTTTTAATTAAATTTTGTATAGATAGTTTTATGAGTGACTGTACAGTACAGTACTTCTCAATCTTAAACTACTAATGACTAGTAGCTTTAACTGGACCCAAGAAATTAAATATAGTAATTCATTATAACATCCATAATAACGGAGACTTAAAAGATTACCTAGTTTTATTAACACCTGCAAAAGTGATTTAGACAATATAAAATATTTCAATAGATGATTTAAAGGTTAGAAGTGTTGTATTTCCTCTGAAGGATGAAAGGATCACCTGAAGAATCTCCACTCCATCTTATTTAACCTAAAGATTAACCACCCTAACACTGTTTGAGGCTACGACGTTAGGTTAGATTTGGTTAGGTTACCGTTAGATTTGTTTAGCATTAAGTTAGGTTAGGTTGATTAAGTGCGCGTTAGGTTAGCGATAGCATGGTTAATCTTTAAGTGAATGAAGCTGGGGTGGAGATTCTTAGGTTAGGTTAGTTTAGGTAAAACTAAGCTGGGACGGAGGTTCTTTCAAGTGATCCGAAAAATAGCTTAAAATTTGTGAAAACGTTATTAATATGCTCAGAGTGTTTTCCAACATGTTATAGTATTGTTGAAAGACCTGTGATCTGGCCGGCAACCAGAGTGAGGGTAAATTAAACGTGGGAGCCTTTAAAGAGTTGTAACTGGGTTTTAACGCTTTTATGTTGAGCCATTAGTGAGTGAGGTGATCACTGATACCTTTTGTTTTGTTGTGTTTAGCTTTCATTCTAGCTTAAATAGTCAACAGATATAATCTTTATCTCTTTTATTTATTATTTATTCACGACTAATGTATTTACTAATCTAGAATACGTGTTTGAAAGAGTTCGTGTTTAAATTGTGTTTCCAATATGCAGGAATCTAAAGTCTGACGTCACCAATCGTATTTCTCATTTGGAATATTACAGTTTTTGTCAACTTTCGAATTATTTAATACATATAATCCAGTTAATTTTCCTCTATTAGGTAATTTATGATAACGATTATTATTTGGGTTTACCTGGACGCAGCCGAGCAAAGTCGACAGGTAAGTAGCGTAATGCTCAATATTTACATGTTTGTATGTCGGTAATTACTTGTGATTAGCGAAACGACCATTAACTGTGGTTTTGATTGGGATAAAAATCGGTACTAGTCTGAAAATATTGATAACTGTAGATATATCTTCGACGTCATGTGAAAACTTATTATTAATTTGAAGAATTCTGTAAAAAAATGCTCATGCTGTTACAATATTAAAATTAGGAGAGGAGGCGGCTGGCGGCCAAAAGCTGTTAATTTAAATTGATTCACATGTAATTGGAGTAAATGTTTGTTATAATAAAAATTCAGTTTGTGTGCAAAAATCTTGCAACAAATGGATAAATAATTTTTTTAAATTTAATTCGGGCAGGATGAAGACATCGGCGACCACCATAAGTCTTATCTCATTATATTTAAGATTTTGTTAGATGGTATAATTACTACCCTAGTTATGCGCTTGTAGACTTTCAAAGTTGAATAGCAGTAATAACATTATAACAACAACAACTCCGTGTAGTATAATGAGTGTATGAAGAGAATTTAAAAAACACTTAAATTTAATTTGTTTCCAAGAATTTGCAATGTTACAAATTTACATTCCAGGCAATGTGAATAACTGTGACGGAAAATTAATATTAAAAAAAACTCTTTTGTACGTGTAAGAAAAAGTTAACTGAACGTTTTAAAACTTATATAAAATTCTTGCAGATATTACAATAAATTTTGAAAACTTCTAATTGTGTTTCAAGAGTTAAATCAAGATTATCCTTAATGTAAATCTGGCAAAAATGTAAAAGGAAAATCATAACAGTTTACAAATAACATAAAACCTTCAAAATTGTGCGGATTTGAGTTGAGTTTACAACATTATCGACCTATATAATTGTGATAAACACTGCTGTCACTCACCCCCTCAACCCATACTAGAAAACTTGAGAAAAAGAAAAAAAATCCGCTAAAATATTACAAAATCAGAGGAATACACAGAACCTAAAATTTTTTTACCTTTTTTTTAACATACATCAATGGTCAAGAGAGTAAAGTAAGTTCCTTTGACAGTCATTATAAAGTTTGACAGACATTCATTCCTCTATCAATAAACTCGTCGGTGTAACATCGTCTTGGCCTTAACTACCCCCGACGTCTCACTTCAGTAAATAAATGATTGAGCCTCACTTGTTATTTCCCGATTTAACACTAACTATTTCATGCAAGATTAATGGTTTTACGTGGACTGATCATCATTGTGTTACGGGTTATATTATAGGTTTGATCGAGTGAAATTGGTTCCCTATTTGTTACTCTGTCTAGAACGTAACACCTTTTCCTCTATTTGTTTAAGTAATCGTAGTTTCGCGTGGTGGCTGACATCATGACACCACGAGGCTACACGAGTTTAATGGAGTCAGTTTTCATTTTTCATAATCAGTCTGTTGCTGCATCTACTGAATGTATCTCATCTACTGAAAGTGATAAAATATAACTGCAGTATATTGTTGTTTAATCTGCAGGTAGAGTATACGTTTTGATATGAATGCGTCTAATGCTTCATTAATAACCGAGGATTTGTGTGACTGGCATTTAAATTACTCTTGTGTGTAATAAAAGGCAACAGTGGTTATCTTATCGGAAACCCACAAAAACTGCTCTTGTAAACGAAGCATTAGTTTGAGGAATATAATATTGGGTACACTTGCCATATGTACAGTACAGTACATTACAAGAGATGAATAAAGAGACTTACTCAGTTCACACGTGTTGAAATGGTCTCCGTCCTGACTGGTGCAGATGTAAGTTTACTGAAAAGAAGAAAAAACCCAAGTAGTAGAATTGATGGTGTTATTTATACACAACAAAAATACAGTATTCGTTTAAAAAAAATGGAGCCAAGTGGAACACCATACAAGAAAGGTTCGGGGATCAGACATTCTTAAAGCATTGTAGTTATTTCAAGGATGAGATGGGCCTACTTATTGGTGCTGTAGTTGTGATGGTACAATGTTTTTTTGTTTTTTTGTTTTTAAGGTCTGAGTATACATTCCAGTTGTGTATAGTTGTTATGTTTAATATGTCGTTGGTGAATCACTATGGGGTACAGTATATTGAATCCCACGCCAGAAGTGAGGGTGGGAGGCCGGGGGGGAGGAAACGTGTGTGTGTGTGTGTGTGAGAGAGAGGGGGTACGAGAAAGACAGATAGAGAAAGAGACAAAAGCAAAGAGTAATTTGACAGGTAGGCGGACAGACAGACAAACATAATGACAGTATTACACATTTCCTCCGCCAGGTCCTCAACATCAAGAGCTCGTGCATTTAAAGTGTGTTAAGCCATAATGACTCATTTATAATATAATCCGTCACTGACAACTTATAATTCTTGTCATATGTAATGTAAACAGAGGCGGCTCGCAACCTTCAGACTGTTTACACTAGAATGACCTACCGTGTCGTCACCCCTCCCCCCCTCCCGTTTGAAAAAGGTGTACATGTAGCTTTAGTTTTTGGTGATTGCCACGGATCAGCTAGTTTATTGTGCACCCACGTCCATCACGTAGACGGTAATGGAAAAAGGAGAATTATAAAAAAAGCTTAGGGCTTAAGACATGAGTGATACATGGGTACAAAACGCTCATTCTGATAACAAGTTATTTGCAGCTAATATAGAATGCAGCGGCCAAGTGGACACAGACCTCGCCTCCTGTTCTAAGAGTCACTGGTTCGATCCCGGGGCACTCCCAGTCCACCCAGATGTAAACTTTGCAAATTGGGGAAGTGAAGGCGGTGAACGAATAATGCCAGCGACGCTGATTCCTTGTGTACCGAAGGGTTAGTATACAGTGTGCTGTATCCACACTGACCCTAACTGGCAGTCAAAACCTATGAAACCTACTTACATACTATACAAAATATGTAAAAATGGGTTTTAGTTAAGACATCACTGACAATGCAGGAGGTAGACGACTATCCCTGAACTCTTCACAATCTGGACATAGCAGTGACCAAGTCTTGCCCACACACTAAACGTTTAATTTGTTTTATATCGCTGTACATACTGAACTGTCACGAGTATTTACACCAAACTCGTATCTTTACATCATTCCTCAGTGTGCGGATAACTAACACAGCCTGGCCTCTGACACAAGCAAACCACACTCAGGTTTAAAGGATAAGAGGGATGAGTGGTCATAAGGGAGTCAATTACAGTCAATGTACCAGAAACAACAACACACGTGATAGTTGTAAGGAAGACAAAAAAATACTCCCAAGGTAACAAAATGAATGTCCAGTTGTTTATTACGACATCTGTCCCATTACAAGAGTTAAACTGAGAATCTGAAGAAATAACGCCAATAGATCTAAGTGTGTGGGAGGAGGTGACTTTAGCCATCACGTTGGTGGATCAGGGTTGGCATTATCTTTTAAGCAAGGACGGAGCTCAGGTTGGAGGTTACACATCTACGTACACATTTTCCCTCGTCCAACAAGCAGCAGGCGGGGGTGCGGGGGCTTGGGTGGGGGTGGGGATGCAGATCGAGGGGGCACCATTCGTCACCGCCCCGCCACGACCCACCTTTGTCCTCCTCAATAGAAGGTGAAGGTGTTTTTTGTTCCATCTGCTAAAAATAATTTCTAATCCCAGGATGACCATCTTTACTGCATGTTGCATTGACGAATAAAGCCGATTATTTTCTGTTGCGATGGTTAATAAAAGCTACACTTCTTTTTATGTTGAAATAACGAATAAAAGACGTCCTCTTAGCTTCTCTGTTGACTACAGTAAGTGTGGAACGATGTAATTATTTACTCTTTGTATTCACCTAGCCCATTTCTTTGTTCCAAGATAGAAGTTCTCTGCTGGTAACTCTAGTGGTTATTTATTTATTGAAGTATGAATATGAAACTAACTGTTTGAGGGTATTAAACACGCAATGCTAATAAATAATAATATAGGACGTCGGGCGTTTATTATTATTATTATTATTATTATTATTATTATTATTATTATTATTATTATTATTGAAGTGCAGCAAGCAGCAGTCGAGTGGATTCAGGGCTCGCCTCCAGTCCTAAGGGTCACTGGCTCGCTCCCGCGGCACCCTCAGTCCACCAAGTTGTGAGTAGGTACCTAATTTTATACTTGGGAAAGTGAAAACGGACAAGTGTAGTGCCAGCCATAATGCCTTCTTGTATACCCACTTTCATATTGGACCATAATATATATAGTCACTCAAAAACACTATCTATACAAAATTGCATTGAAAAAATATGACACAACGGACAAGGATCTTGGCAACCCTACCGAGACAACAGGAGTCGCAGTGTTCATTCTGAAATTCATCAATCACCCCGAGTAAGGATAGTTTTTCGTGATTTTGAACTGGTCTGTGAATAGAGATGGTCACACAGATGTACATGATACAGTAGAGTACAAAGTATAAATGAACAGCACCAACTAACACATCCTAACATGAAGTAAATAAAGTTTTGTTAAATTCAGAAGACGAAGGATGACTTGATTAAAATATATTGAGTCTTGCAATACACGAGATAATTCACACACATACACACACACACAACACCAACCTGGTCTCATGGTTCACTGATTTCTTGAGTGAACATCGTCAGACACTCGCACCAAAAAGTATCGGTGCAGGGTGAGATCGACGACTTCCGAAACGATACGTATACACTGTGATATGTCGGGAAGGTTGGTAAGTGTATCCATTCCTCATAACCCCCCCCCCCACTCCACTAGGTGTTGCCATATGGCTGACAATCTGTGTTTCTTTCCTCTTTTCGGATTGTTGCTTTGTGTCGACTGAATGATGAGCGAGGGTTCGGTCTCGGTGAACGTGGATATAAAACAGAGGCAATATGAAGCAGTAGAGATCTACACATTCCAGACGACATGGAAACCTCAGAGGGAACACGAGGAGCTATTATTGCCCTTCATAACGAAGGGTTCGGCGTCACAGATATTAGCTGGCGGGTTGGTGTCCACAGGAACACCGCTGCACGATGGATTCGGCGATACCTCGAAACTGGTGCTACAGACGACAGGTCTTGGAGCGGCCGTCCAGGCTGCACCACCCCTCAGGACGACCAGGTTGAGTGGTTTATTTGGTAGCATAAATTAATGTGGCAATATTCACAAGTATCACAAATAATTTTATTAACAGGGAGCTCCTCATATTTCATACTGTCTATTTATCACTTCCCGACCTTATTTATAACGGTTTGTTTCATTTGACCAGGCCATAGTAGCTGCTCAGCAGGATTACAGGGCTGCCAACATACGGCTGGAACAACTCGCCTTTCCCAATACCTATCGTCACTGGTCTCAAATTGTTCACACAACAGTATGCACCGATACTTTTTGTTGTGAGTGTACCAGGTTTCTGTCTCCACATTCTAACACCTCACCTGCAGTGTTCCCCAGGGGACCAAGATGGGACCACTGTGCTTCCTAATCCTGATCAACGATGCTCTATCGGACACTCCTTACAGGTGGAAGTACGTGGTTGACTGCACTGTGGGGGTTACAGTGGACAACACCTCACTGGACTACTCATCGCTACAAGGCACCCTGGACAGGCTACAGGCATGGACTACGGAGAACAAGGTCACCATCAACCACACCAAAACCGTAGTCATGCACATCAATACCGCCACCACTCCAGTGCAAGCCCCAGCAGTTACATTGGGTGCCCACCCTCTCCAGCTGGTTCAGTCTGCCAAACTCCTGGGTGTAACTATAGACAACAAACTTCACTGGAAGGCCCATGTAAACAACACAATCAAGGCACCCTCTTACCGACTCTACATGCTACGACGACTCAGGTCACTTGGGACACCCATGCCAGAGCTGAGGACTATCAACAATGCCTTTATTCTCCCCAAACTAACGTATGCGTCACCAGCTTGGTCATCTTCTCTCAACTCTACCCAACAACGTCAGCTAGAGAAGGTACAGAAAAGGGCCTGCAGAATCATGCTCGGCGCAGACTACTCTGCCTATAACAACGCTCTCTCCACCCTGGAAATGCCATCCCTCAGTGACCTCCACCACTACGCACTAGCAGGGTTTGGCAGTGGACTACTGCACCATCCTCGTCATCGCCACCTCCTGCCACCGGCAGTCCCCCGCCCACCTCGCGCAGTCCTCCACTACAACAAAATTCAGCCCATAAAAGCCCGCACTGATAGATATAAGAATAGCACCATCCCATCTATTGTTAAAATAATAAACAACTGATTTATGTACTGTACAGCCCTGTAAATGTATTGAACGCATATCATTATGTCTAGATCACATGTAAGTGTGTATATTTTCAGCCACCGGCTGCAACTCTATCAATAAACCGTTTATTATTACTATTATTATTATTATTATTATTATTATTATTATTATTATTATTACACACACACACACACACACACACACACAGCATATTTATACACACGTTCTTCAGTATTACTAAGCAATACATACAGCTCTGAATCACTCCAAACATGCAGATCTAACTCTCTCCAAACATGCAGCTCTAACTCACTCCAAACATGCAGCTCTAACTCACTGCGCCGTTACCAAACATTTCTCTAAACATCTGACAAGTGGTAATTGTTGAGAAGAATTTTTTACACTGGAAAACACAACTAGATTTACTACTAATTGCTTTGATCTTTAAAGCCAGTTGGAATCGAAAAAAAAAGTATATCACCCAATCACAATTCTGTCTGATCATTTGCAGAAGTTCCATTCGCCACTGTGATAAAAATACGTAGTGTAGTGACTTAAA